TTCCTGCTCCTCTGATGCTGCTTGGCCTGCTGTGTTCATCCAGCTCTACACCTTGTTATCTCAGATTCTCCAGCATCTGCAGTTCCTACTATCCCACCTTGAAAACGTTCTGCTGACTCAATCAGCATCGGAACGTAACAACAGTTGTTGTCCATTTAGTTCCTCAAACCTGCCAAGTCTGAGGTTTCTCACAAGCATTTCAGTTTCACCACCCCCTCCTCAACAGCAATTAAAAATAGGCGATAAATCCCATATTTGCTAGGGTACTTCTGCTTTTTCTTTGTAATCTTAAACGTGCACTTTCTTTAAAATCAATTTTTAAATCGGCATTATTGCATCGACTTTTATCGTTTTGTTTTCTTTTGCCCTGGTCCATGTTAATGGTCGGTGGGTTTGGAAGGATGTTCGATGCATTGCATCTTGTAAGATAGACTGCTGCTTATGGTTGAGATTCATTATTATCATCTACCTCTAGACATTTCACACTTGAAAATAAAGCTTGCAATGCCTTCGACTCCTTTTCTGTCCGTAAACCTTCTGTTATTTTCCCCCCGTGTTAAGACCAGAGAGCACTTTTCTGCGGAAGGCTGCGGTCAGAACTCGGGTGGCGGGGTGGGGGGGGAAGTGCTTCTGATGGGCCGACCGTGAGGATCCTGGAGTTGAACCCGATGCTGGGGCGCAGTTCCGCGGGAAGGCTAATGGTCGGCCTGCCTGCCTCCCGGCAGCGCAGCGCACTGCAGTTGAAATGGCCGCCGCGATATCGTCGAGCCGCCTGTGCGACAGTAACCCAGCAACTCCGGGAGCACAGTCCAGCAAGGTGGGTGACTGTGACTGTGGCTGCGGCGAGTCGGTGCCTGGACCGGTGTTGTTTTGTTTCCCCCAGCATGTGGGGGAAGGGGAAGATGTACGATCGCCGGTGTAGATTTTATCCGATCTCTGGGTTGAAACTGGGACCGTTCAAGTGCAATAAACCGCCCGCTCAGAGCAGAGAGGCCGATTGATGTTGTGTTTCTCGCTCAGTACATCCACCTGGTAGTGACGCGCGCGGTGAAATCGCTACATACTCTATTCTCAAGCCGTTCGAAGTAGGGATTCCTGTCACCAGTTGTTCATCTCTATCTCTCTGTTCTGGTGATACTATTATTTGTAAAGTTAAATCATCAATTTTTTAAAAAAATCATAATTTGAACGTTGGCCCAGATTTTCTGACGGTCAGATAATCTTTTCTGAATTGAAGGTGGGAGTTGATTAAGGGGACCCTGTAAACTCCTCAGTGTAGAAGACTCTGAAGGAATTGCCCAGGAAGTTGACTTTTCTTTTGGAAAATTCCTGTCCATTTAAATTGGAGAATTCAGAGGGTTCCCATTAAACAAGTAGATACTCAGGAAAAGTTATTAAATGCCCATTCTTAACAGTCGAGTAACTATCAGGCTGAAAAAAGGGCCTTCTTGTGACTGCAGTGGTAGTGTCCTTTTCCCTCGACCAAGTCCCACCTGCTTCAGAGATAATCATAGAATCCCTACTGAGTGGAAACAGGCCATTTGGCCCATCTGGCGCTGTGCTAACCATTGTGCTGCCGGCTGTCAAGACATCTCTGGTTGATTGCATCCCAACTTGCCTCGCACACCCACAACTACATCTCCTCCAGACTCTCAACACCTTCAAGACCCTGATCTAACATTCTTTTCCCCCTCCACTCCAGGACCCAACGCCTCCCCTTGTCATCAGACCCGACACCTCCCTCTGTGTGTGTGCCCCAAGTCACCCCATCCCCATTGCTGGATCTAACTGCAGACTTGTCCTGCAGTCAGACCGTGCCTTGATCTGATATCTCCCACCTACCCTCAACACTCTGCTTACCTGGTACCCCACCCATCTGGCATCTTATGTACCTGGACCCTTGTGTCCTCTACCCATCTGATACCCTAGCCTTCTGGCATCCTACCCCACACTTGCCTTGCGTATGATGTCGAGATACCAGTGTTGGACTGGGGTGAACAAAGTCAGAAGTCACATGACACCAAGTTGTAGTCCCAACAGGTTATTTAAAATCACAAGCTTTCGGAGTGCTGCTCCTTCGTCAGGGTGGAGTGGCCACCTGCTGAAAGAGGAGCACTCTGAAAGCTTGTGATTTTTAAATAAACCTGTTGGAGTATAACCTGGTGTAGTGTGACTTCTGACTTTGTCTTACGTACTTACTGTTTGGCACCAGCCGTCAATGGCTGCGTGAGATTCTAGACCTTTACATTTCAGAATACACCTGTTGACCACTGTGAGAAATGGAGTGTGAGTTGCCTTCCCCTTCCCCTAACACTTCTGCACTTTGCGAGATCTGTCAGAATGGAAATACAGCTCCACATTTCTGAAGGAACCCTGATCAGAATCTGTCAGAAATGCGAACTGCTTTTGTTGCATAAAAGTGGAGATTGCCACTCCTTGGAAAATTCACCGTTTTACCCCCCATTTTTTTCAAACTTTTCATTTAATCCTTTGTTATTCAGTAAAAGGGAATAAACAGCAAAATACTACAGATGTTTGAAATCCTAGCTATGTAGAGGAAGCACTCTGGGTCAGACAGCATCCATGCAGCATACCAATTTGCACAGCATTGCTCTTAACAAAATATCTCAGTGATTTTACAGAAAGCTATAAAGCAAAATTTGACACTGAGCTGTATAAGGTTACATGGGGATAAGTGACCAATGTTTGCTCAAAGAGAGATTTTGCTGAGCATCTTGAAGGATCCAGCCAAACAAATTCTCTGTTTCATTTTGAGTTTCTTGTGACTGTACTGTGACTCAATTATAGCACTCTTGCTTCTGAATCACAGGACCCCTGGCTCAAGTCCCACTCTAGGTCTCAAGGTCAAAGATCAAAGCTGACTCTCCAGTGCAGTACTGAGGGAGGACAGCAGAATTGGGCATGCTATATGTTGGATGAGAAATTAAAGTGAGACCTTCGATGCAATGGATGTATAAGGACCTGTCATACTATTTCAGAGGCCATATTAAGACCATGAGACGTAGGAGCTGAAGTAGGCAATCCTGCCCATTAAGTCTGTGTTGCCACTGAATGAAATAGTGGCTGATCTGATAATCATCAGTTCCACTTTCCTGCCTTTGCTCCATATCCTTGATTTCCTTACTGAATGGCAATCTATCTCAGCCTTGAAAATACAGCAAACTTTGTTTTAACCAGCACCTTATGAACCGACAGTCTCAAAAAACCAGCAAAAATTATTTACCTCAAATACCGCAAAGTATTATTCTGTCTAATTATTATAGTTTTTAAATTTATTTACCTCTGTATACATATGCCTGTTGTTCAATCGAATGGCCACACGAGATATCAACAATTAATTAATTTCCAAGTCAATTTCTGCTCAAATGCCGCAACCTACCGTGATGTCCAAGCACTCCGTTGAGGGTGCGAGTGAGAAGGTTCTCTCCAGTAAGTTTTATCACAGGCAAAGTTGCATTATTATTTAAGTGATTTATGCTGTAAATAAAGTATAACAGTGATGGGTATTCACCCCACATTATGTTTCTATTACTTAGTGTGGGTATTTTTACATTGGTTAATTGGACCTCTTGATCAGCTGGAATATTTGATCAACTGGCACATTCCTGATCCCACAGGTGCAGTTTCATAAAGGTTTGCTGTATTTAATGACCCAGTATCGACAGCCCTCTGCATAAAGAACTCCATTCATTCACTACCCTCTCAGAGGTGCTGTGTACAAATTGTCTGCCGCATTATCCACGTCACAGCAGTGGCTTCATTTGAAAAGTACTTTGTTGATTACAAAGAGCTTTGAGCTGTACGATGGTCGTGCAAAGTGCTTTATAAGTACAAGTCTGTTATTTGTTTCACTCGCCACTCCAGGAAGATACAGAGGAGACTTCAAATGATGATGCCACAAGCCAGCCTGCCAAGCGCCGACGGATGGGATCTGGAGATAGCTCAAAAAGCAGCGACACAACTCAGGACTTCAGGTACACTTTTATTCTTGGTTTTAAAGCTTCCATGTTTTTTCCTTATGAAGTGAATTGGTTGGAAAAATACAGGTATTGATGCTGTGGTAAAATATCCATCCTTGTCCTCCTTGAGAAATTGGGAACATATTATTTAGCTGGTGTTATTATCTCCATGTAATCTCATTACTGAGATTGCAATACACTCGCACAAATTGACACCGTTACCTTTCTTTCTAGCTGAGCTGTAAGGATTGATTGGTACTGAAAGATATTTTTTGTTCTCAGCTCCAGCTATTTTCCGGCAGAGATGTTAACAGAATATAAGTGGCCAGCTGATGACACGGGGGAATATTACATGCTTCAGGAACAAGTTAGTGAATATTTAGGTGTGACATCATTCAAGCGTAAATACCCAGGTAGGGTTTTTTAAGCTTCAGTTTGGAAGGTAATATGTTCAGAAATTTTTTTATGTATTGGGATATGTATAAATGTTATGTGTAATCATAAAAATGTTAAATGTCATTCATTACATTTAGATTGGCATTTGATAAATTTGCTGTAAATGCCACGCAACCATCATTTGGCCATCATAGTTCTGAAACAGGTCGTTTTGTTTTGATGCACACTGCTACTTTTAGGTAGACCCTTCAGAATCTCAAAGTAACAGTTCTCTGTATCTACTACACCGCTGTTATCCTCTGATTGAAACTCTATCCTGCACAAATCCACAGGAAATCCATTGTGTACCAAGGATCCTCTAACAATAATTTCTTTAAGGAAATCTGCTATTCTTAACCGATTTGGTCTACGTGTGACTCCAGACCCAAAGCAATGTGGTTGACTGGTAACTACCCTCTGAAACGGCCTAGGAAGCCACTCAGTTCAAGGGCTTAGGGAAGAGCAACAATGCTGGCCTTACCAGTGAGACCCACATCCCATGAAAGAATAAAGTTAACAGTGTAAACTATGCCTATTTTATGCCTGTGTTTGTCTGACAGAAAAGATTATGAAGAAGGTGCAGCCTGCCATTAGAATTAATTAATTTTAATGCTTTCAAGTAAACGATAACATGTTCTTTGCCAGATCTGGAAAGACGCGATCTATCTCACAAAGAAAAACTATATCTAAGGGAGATGAATGTTATCACAGAAACCCAGTGCACTTTAGGTAAGTTGTCTGCTGAGTTGTCATCATGTTCATCTTGTTTTTTGCCTTGTCTGAATGGGATCATTATTATGAATGTATTTAAATAGCACTGAGTGTTATATAAGTATGTGTGATTGCATATACTATGTCAAATGATCAGTATGAAATAGTCACCAAGTAGTCAAATTGGGTAAATAGCTTTCTTCTGAATTTCCTGAGTGGTGAGAATGTGGAACTTGCTATAATAGGGAAATAGTGTAGGTGAATAGTATAGATGCATTCATGGGAAAGTTTTTGGTAAACATGTTGGGGTGAATAACAGTGTAATTCAGTGTGAATATCTCCTCATTCTCTCTTTTTAGATGTATACAACCATAACAATTAGGAGCAAGAATGGGCCACTCAGCACTTGAACCTGCTATGCCATTCAAAAAGATCATGGCTGATCTAATTACTCCACATTCCTGCCTGTCCCAATAACCTTTCACCCCCTAGTTTATTAAAAATCTGCCTACCTCTGCCTTCAAAAATTTAAATATTCTATTTCCACCCCCTGTTGAGTAAGAGAGATCCAAAGACTCATGATCTTCTGAGAGAATAGCTTTCTCCTCATCTCTGACTTAAATGGACAAGCTCTTTATTTTTAAACAGTGACTTTTACGTCTAGATTCTTCCACAAAACAAAAAGTCCTTTTGCCATGTACTCTTGTCAAGACTCTTCAGGGCCATTTATGCTTCAACCAAGCCACCACTTACTCTTCTAAACTCCAAAAGATACAAGCCTAGCCTGTCCATCCTTTCCTTAGAAGACATCTCTCCCCTCCCAGATAACAGTCTAGTAAGCTTTCTGTGAACTGCTTCCAATGCATTTACATCCTTTCTTAAATAAGAAGACTGATAGTCTATACAGCATTTCAGATGTGGACTCACCAATGCCTTGTCTAACTGAAGAATAACCTCCTTTACTTTGTAATCAGTTACCCTTGCAATAAATAACATCTTATTAGCTTTCCTACTTGTTCAACCGGTTTACAAATCTTTTGCAATTCATGTAGCCATGTTACTCTGCATTTCAGGTCTCTGCAGTCTCTCACGATTTGGATAATATACTTCAGTTTTAACCTTTCTGCCAAAATGAACATTTTCAC